CGGCGTAGTGGGAGGACTATCATCCAACCCGAAAAACTCACACTTTTGGGTGAGGTCTATGAGGCTGTCCCCAATAAGCATGAGTCGGACCCAGTAAGCTATGCGGAAGCGTTGACCGATATAGATGCGAATCGTTGGAAAGATGCCATGAAATCAGAGTTGGAATCGATGTATTCTAACAAAGTCTGGGATGTTGTAGAACTTCCTAGTGGGGTTCAGCCCATTGGTTGTAAGTGGATCTACAAACGAAAGAGAGGAATGGATGGGAATGTTGAGACATTCAAAGCTAGACTGGTTGCCAAAGGCTTCACTCAACGTGAAGGTATTGATTATGAGGATACATTCTCACCAGTTGCAATGCTTAAATCTATTCGCATTCTTTTGGCCATTAGTGCTTATTATGACTATGAAATATGGCAGATGGATGTTAAGACAGCATTTTTAAATGGCCATCTTGAACAAGACATCTACATGAGGCAACCAGATGGTTTCGTGGTTAAAGGTCGTGAGGACTATGTATGTAAGTTGAATAGGTCTATTTATGGACTTAAGCAAGCTTCACGCACATGGAACATTTGTTTTGATCAGGCAGTCAAATTATTTGGCTTTGAACAAAACGTGTTTGAACCTTGCGTTTATAAGAAAAAACAGGGTAATGTCATCATGATTCTCGTTTTATATGTTGATGACATCTTGCTCATTGGTAATGATGTAGAAGCATTATCATCAGTTAAAAGGTGGTTGTTCAATAAATTTGAGATGAAAGATCTTGGAGAAGCAAGCTATATTCTTGGGATCAAGCTTATGCGAGATCGGGTTAAAAAGAAAATAGGCTTGTCTCAAGAGTCTTACATTGACAAAGTTCTGATCAGGTTTGGAATGGAAAACTCTAAGAAAGGGTTTTTGCCATTTAGACATGGGTTGGCTCTTTCTAATGACCAGTCTCCCAAGACTGATAAGGAAATTGAGCAAATGAGGCGGATACCATACGCTTCGGCAGTTGGTAGTTTCATGTATGCCATGGTCTGTACCAGACCGGACATCTGCTACTCGGTAGGGATTGTCAGTAGATATCAGTCCAATCCTGGACTTGATCATTGGTCAGCTGTGAAGAATATCTTAAAATACCTTAGAAGAACTAAGAATCTAATGCTCATTTATGGAGGTGATGATCTGGTTCCAGTCGGATATACGGATTCTGATTTTCAATCAGATCCAGATGCCAGGAAATCTACATCTGGATATGTGTTTAAGTTCAATGGAGGGGCAGTTAGTTGGAAGAGTGTCAAGCAGGGTTGTACTGCTAACTCAACCATGGAAGCAGAATACATTGCAACCTCTGAGGCAGCAAAAGAAGCTGTTTGGTTGAGAAACTTTCTAATTGAACTGGAGGTTGTGGAGCATATAGATCGGCCTATGACGCTTCATTGTGATAATAGTGCAGCTATAGCCCAAACCAAGGACCCAAAATTTCATAAAGGAACAAGACACATTCAGAGGAAACATCATGTGGTTCGTGATATAGTAAAGCGAGGAGATATACTTGTGGCCAAGATTGCATCGGAACATAACCTTGCTGATCCATTCACAAAGGCTTTACCGATCAAGATGTTTGATCGTCATATGGAGAACATGGGAGTTAGATGTGATTTGAATTGGCTATAAGTGCAAGTGGGAGCTGTTAGGATATGTGTGCCCTAGCATAGCAAATTCTAATTTTGGATTGTAAAAGTCATGGTTTCTTGTCTGGATATTATTATTAAAGCATTATACAATTGGTGAATGGAATGTATTATTTTTCGATTCTTTATGGAATTGATGGTGTCCGCTTAATTACAAAATATATTTATATATGTATGTAATGGCAATTAATACTATGATATAAATTAGTAATCATAAATGGTTTAAAGTCGGTAATTATTGATGGACATTTAATTAGTTAAGACTTAAACCGGGTCCACGATAGATTGAGATATATTGCGAGAGCTGTCGTATGCAATTGCTCTCTATCACAGTCATGGCTTTTGACTCTCAAGCATGAGAGAAGTATAGACTCTTTTATTAATTAATAATTACTTTGATTTGTTCGGCGGATACCTCGGGATCCTTAGATCGACACTTTGGGTAGTTATGTAATTAATAATTAGAGGTCTATATTCTCAATATTTGCATCAGTGCTATTTGTATTTATTTTGTTTTGATTATGGTTGATCACAAATTAAATTCGAAGGCCTTCGTATGTTTTAGACAAATGTTTTATATATATATATTTATTTAATAAATTATTATTATTTTTTGTCAAATAAATATTTTATTATGATCGAACCGGAAATAATCAAAGGTAACAAAATAATTATATTAATTATGTTGTCGGATTGATGGCTTTAATTATCCGATAAATAATTAAGCATAGAGGGGTCAAAGTGCGACATTGACTTAGAGGTTATTTACTATTTAATTGGAGTGCAATTAATTTCTTTTAGTGGAGTAGAAATTAATTTATGAATTAATTGAATTGGGTCCATGGTTTAATGGACCGGACCAATTATTAATTTATAAGAGCCAAGAAAATAGTAAGCCCAAAAGGATTCTCACCAATAGCCCAAGTTGATATTGGAGGCATGTTAGGATTGAGAAAGTTGAATTAGAGATGGAGAATGATTTATTGTTTCCTTATTCTTATTTTTATTTTGCCTATATATACATGAGTTCATGTATATTTTAGGTGTGACTTGGAGAACAGGAAAAAGGAATACACTTTCTCTCTCTAGATTTTAGGGTTTTGTTTCTCTTCTAAAGGAGGCTACCACCAGCCTAGATTCTAAGGTCATTCATCAAGGCATATTGGTGATTCCTAAAGGGAAGATAATAATCAAAAAGAAGGAGAAAGGATCTTACTAAAGGAATCTACAATAAGTGAGAATATTCACTTTAGAGGAAAGTTCAAAAGGTTTACTCAGACCTTTGATGTGAGTATTCAATCTGTTTATTGAATTATGCATCATCTTTTATTTATCTTTGCATAAAACTTGTCTCCATGTAATGAATCAAGATCTATGATTGCAAATCCCTCAAAAAGTTTTAAAAATTTGCACGTTTCCCAACAGTGGTATCAGAGCACATGGTTTGATTCATTACTAGAGAACATGTGTTTATAAAAATCATATTCATGGATCCAAATTATATATACATATATAAAATTATTGATATATGTTGATGTATGATTTATTATGTTGATATATATTAATACATGTTGATGTATGTATAATTGTGAATGGATGATGATGTGTGTTTGGGCCATGGATGAAGCTTATAGGTATATAGAATGTAATTTTATTTTTGGATAAATGTAATTAAGGCTTTGTTTTAGCCATTTGAAAATTCAATGATGTAATTTAATTTTTTCCATTGTATTTCAAATTGTAAGTATTTATTAAAGCCATGTAATATTCATCAAATGATGCTATGAAGCTTCAAGAAGGTCCGAAAGGGTTAAATTATGCTTCAGTAATTTTCTGGAATTTTTTCAAAATTTTCGGGAATTTTTTGAGGCTTAATTTAATTTTCTGGGATTTTTCCGGATTTTTTGGAATTTTTTCTGCGTTTTTCCGGTGGCCGGAGCTTCGCCGGCGGCGAGAAGAGGCGTCGGAGGTGGCCCGGATCAGGTGTGGCAGTGGCTAGGTGAGCCTGGCGCGTGTTCCACACGCGCCAGGAGTGGGCTGGTCAATGATAAGCTAGCGCGTGGATCTCACGCGCCAGCCAAGGAGTTGGTACACTCCACGCGCCCCAGGCGCGTGGGAGCGCGTGAGGGTGCATTCCAAGCGCCCCAAGCGCGTGCCGGCACGTGGGGGCGCGTGGGAGCGCGTGCAGCTTGCCCTAGGCGCGTGCCAGCGCGTGTGGGGTCCTCCGGGCTCGTTCCAATCGGCGTTTTGCTTCTCCTGACGCGTACAAGCTTCCTATGGGTGTTTACAGACAGTTGAAGGATGCCCGTACAGCAAGAATAGTTTTTAAATGTTAAAAGCTGAATCCATTGGCCATTTATATTGCTTCTGTCTATTATTTGATGCATGGAATAATTTAATGCTGATTATAATTGTTCATGCATTGGATCTATGATTTTTAATTAAATGGCTTGATTTATATTAATTAAATTATGAAGATAAATTGGATTAGATTGCTAATTAATTTGAGAGCATTTATTGGGAAACAGAAAAATTATTTTTGTAAATTATTTTTTGCCTCAAATTAAATATTAGTGAATCATTTAAAATCCATATATTTTCTAAATTTAATTGGATTAAAATCAAGGCGTTTTGCATGCATTAAATCATGAATTGAAAACCCTAGTTTTACATTATTAAAAATTGAGTGGGAGCGGGGATTTTTTATACATTACCCCATGGCCTTCGTAATTATAACCATTATGATTAGATCTTTAAAAATAAGGCTTCACGCATGATTTAAAAAGTGTCTGGATTACAAGAATGGTTGTCTCACGAAAATATATTTATTAAATAACCATTATAGTTAGATCTTTAAAAATAAGGCCCCACGCATGATTTAAAGAGTCTAAGTTATTAATGGCAATATATTTAATATTTGTTTTTCCGTTGGAGCATTAATTATGTTATACACTCAATCTAAAATCAATAGTATTAACTCCCCAACGGAGTGGTCTATACTAGGTGATTTTAGAAAGGCTAAATCTAATCGGGAATTATTTCATATTTAGATAAGGCATTGTCTAAAGAGATATGGAAATAATGAGTTATTCTCGTCAATAAGTAATAATGAATTCCGCCAACCGGATAAGTTATTGGCATATTGATTGTCCGATTTTTCATGCAATGTGGTTAAGGGACCCACAATTAATTAATTGTTTTATACTTGCATGATTATTATTATTCACTTTATTTATTGTATCAATGCTTTTATTTTCAGAATTATCATGACTAGTCCATTCAGTCCACTTGCAAACATACTAAAAGAGAATCGATTAACTGGACCTAATTATATCGATTGGAAAAGGCAACTAGATATTGTACTCACATATGAGGGGTTGAATTATGTGCTTACTACTCCTAGACCTTCTCCACCTTTGCCTGAGGATCCTCCTGAGGAGCATGAAGTATTTAAGAAATGGAATAAAGCAGATGAGATGACTAGGTGCTACATTCTTGCTTCACTCTCGAATGTACTCCAAAGTCAACATCTTCAATATCTCACTTCTGCAGACATCATGCTTAACCTTAAGGAAATGTTTGGGCAAATTGGTAAGAGCGCACGCCAAAATGCTATGACAAATTTGATGACCATTAAGATGGTCCAAGGTACTTCAGTTCGGGAACATGCTTTAAAAATGATTGGTTTTTTAAATGAACTGGAGATCTTTGGATGCAACTTGGATGGTGAACTTCAGGTTGACATGATTATCGCTTCATTGCCAGACTCATTTAACTCTTTTAGGGTTAATTATTATATGAATAAGCTTGAGTACACACTCGCTGAACTATTGAATGAGTTGGTAACCTTTGAAGGGATAAACAAAAGCAAGGGTGCATCTATCAACTACACTCAGTCTGCTGGACCATCCACTTCTAGGCCCAAGAGGAGGGGCAAGAAAAAGAAGAAGGATGGTGCCAAAACTGTGGTTGTGCCAAACAAAGTAATCAAAAAGGATAAGGGAAAGAAGAAAGTGCGGGTTGAAGGCGAAGGAAACTGCTTCCATTGCGGTCAACCAGGACACTGGAAACCTAACTGCCCAATACTTCGCACACAAGGCAAAGAAAAAGGTATATTCATTGTTGAGGCATGTAATGTGGTTGAATCTATAGATTCGTGGTGCATAGATTCTGGAGCCACTAATCATGTTTGCAATTCATTGCAGGGATTCCAGGAATCCAGAAGCCTCAATGAAGGAGAGATATACTTGCATATGGGATCTAATGCCAAGGTGGAAGCTAAAGCAGTGGGAGTGGTTCATATGCAGTTTGACAGTGGGAGGAGTCTTATATTAGAAGATTGTCTTTATGCGCCAAATGTTAGGCACAATTTAATTTCAGTTTCTTCGTTGGTTTGCAAAAATTATATTTTTACTTTTGGAAAAAATGTTTTAATTAAATTAAATGGTTGTGTTATAACTTCTGATGCATTGAAAGATAATCTATATGTTTTAACTCCTAGCTCATATCAAATGCAAAATTATGAATTAAATGCAACTTCATCTAGATTGAATGTTAAAAGAAAAACAGTTTCTCCAAACTCATTGTATCATTGGCATCTACGATTGGGTCACATCAATCAAAATAGGATTCAAAGGTTGGTTAAAGAAGGTTTATTACCTTGTGAGGCAGAGGAGCCTATGCCAAGTTGTGAATCCTGTATTGAAGGAAAGATGACTCGAAGGGCTTACTCAGCCAAAGGAGATAGAGCCAAAGAACAATTAGAGTTGGTGCACACAGACGTGTGTGGTCCCATGAACACCCAAGCGAGAGGAGGGTTTGAGTACTTCATCACTTTCATTGATGATTATTCACGTTTTGGATATATTTACCTAATACGACACAAGTTAGAAGCTTATGGAAAATTCCGTGAGTTTCAGGCGGAAGTGGAGCGTAAATTAGGTAAACTTATCAAAACACTTCGATCTGATCGAGGAGGTGAATACCTCTTCGGGGAGTTCAAGGATCATATGGTCAATGAGGGAATTGTGCGCCAGTTATCCGCACCTGACTGCCCTCAACAGAATGGAGTGGCAGAAAGGAGAAACAGAACTTTACTTAACATGGTTAGATCTATGATGAGTTTTGCTACATTACCTCTATCATTTTGGGGATTAGCCTTAGAATTAGCGATGTATATTTTGAACTGTGTTCCATCCCAGTCTGTTTCAGGAACGCCATACGAGCTGTGGTTTGGACGTAAACCTAGTTTAAATCACATGCATATATGGGGGTGTCCAGCACACGTGCGAAAGAAACAGGCAGATAAGTTGGAAGCAAGATCAGATGCATGCTTATTTGTTGGCTATCCTAAGGGCACTAGAGGTGGATTATTTTATGATCCCATGGACAATAAGGTTATTGTTAGCACTCATGCTGTTTACCTGGAGGAGGATTATATTATGAATCACAAACCTAGTAGCCAGATAATGTTAGAGGAGATGGTTGGCACGTCAGAGATACCCCCAGTGGACACACCTAATATAAATACTGAGAATGATGAGACACAAGAATTCCCTGTTGAATTACCATCATCTAGTACATCGATTCCTGCACCGGTCCTTCGGCGTAGTGGGAGGACTATCATCCAACCCGAAAAACTCACACTTTTGGGTGAGGTCTATGAGGCTGTCCCCAATAAGCATGAGTCGGACCCAGTAAGCTATGCGGAAGCGTTGACCGATATAGATGCGAATCGTTGGAAAGATGCCATGAAATCAGAGTTGGAATCGATGTATTCTAACAAAGTCTGGGATGTTGTAGAACTTCCTAGTGGGGTTCAGCCCATTGGTTGTAAGTGGATCTACAAACGAAAGAGAGGAATGGATGGGAATGTTGAGACATTCAAAGCTAGACTGGTTGCCAAAGGCTTCACTCAACGTGAAGGTATTGATTATGAGGATACATTCTCACCAGTTGCAATGCTTAAATCTATTCGCATTCTTTTGGCCATTAGTGCTTATTATGACTATGAAATATGGCAGATGGATGTTAAGACAGCATTTTTAAATGGCCATCTTGAACAAGACATCTACATGAGGCAACCAGATGGTTTCGTGGTTAAAGGTCGTGAGGACTATGTATGTAAGTTGAATAGGTCTATTTATGGACTTAAGCAAGCTTCACGCACATGGAACATTTGTTTTGATCAGGCAGTCAAATTATTTGGCTTTGAACAAAACGTGTTTGAACCTTGCGTTTATAAGAAAAAACAGGGTAATGTCATCATGATTCTCGTTTTATATGTTGATGACATCTTGCTCATTGGTAATGATGTAGAAGCATTATCATCAGTTAAAAGGTGGTTGTTCAATAAATTTGAGATGAAAGATCTTGGAGAAGCAAGCTATATTCTTGGGATCAAGCTTATGCGAGATCGGGTTAAAAAGAAAATAGGCTTGTCTCAAGAGTCTTACATTGACAAAGTTCTGATCAGGTTTGGAATGGAAAACTCTAAGAAAGGGTTTTTGCCATTTAGACATGGGTTGGCTCTTTCTAATGACCAGTCTCCCAAGACTGATAAGGAAATTGAGCAAATGAGGCGGATACCATACGCTTCGGCAGTTGGTAGTTTCATGTATGCCATGGTCTGTACCAGACCGGACATCTGCTACTCGGTAGGGATTGTCAGTAGATATCAGTCCAATCCTGGACTTGATCATTGGTCAGCTGTGAAGAATATCTTAAAATACCTTAGAAGAACTAAGAATCTAATGCTCATTTATGGAGGTGATGATCTGGTTCCAGTCGGATATACGGATTCTGATTTTCAATCAGATCCAGATGCCAGGAAATCTACATCTGGATATGTGTTTAAGTTCAATGGAGGGGCAGTTAGTTGGAAGAGTGTCAAGCAGGGTTGTACTGCTAACTCAACCATGGAAGCAGAATACATTGCAACCTCTGAGGCAGCAAAAGAAGCTGTTTGGTTGAGAAACTTTCTAATTGAACTGGAGGTTGTGGAGCATATAGATCGGCCTATGACGCTTCATTGTGATAATAGTGCAGCTATAGCCCAAACCAAGGACCCAAAATTTCATAAAGGAACAAGACACATTCAGAGGAAACATCATGTGGTTCGTGATATAGTAAAGCGAGGAGATATACTTGTGGCCAAGATTGCATCGGAACATAACCTTGCTGATCCATTCACAAAGGCTTTACCGATCAAGATGTTTGATCGTCATATGGAGAACATGGGAGTTAGATGTGATTTGAATTGGCTATAAGTGCAAGTGGGAGCTGTTAGGATATGTGTGCCCTAGCATAGCAAATTCTAATTTTGGATTGTAAAAGTCATGGTTTCTTGTCTGGATATTATTATTAAAGCATTATACAATTGGTGAATGGAATGTATTATTTTTCGATTCTTTATGGAATTGATGGTGTCCGCTTAATTACAAAATATATTTATATATGTATGTAATGGCAATTAATACTATGATATAAATTAGTAATCATAAATGGTTTAAAGTCGGTAATTATTGATGGACATTTAATTAGTTAAGACTTAAACCGGGTCCACGATAGATTGAGATATATTGCGAGAGCTGTCGTATGCAATTGCTCTCTATCACAGTCATGGCTTTTGACTCTCAAGCATGAGAGAAGTATAGACTCTTTTATTAATTAATAATTACTTTGATTTGTTCGGCGGATACCTCGGGATCCTTAGATCGACACTTTGGGTAGTTATGTAATTAATAATTAGAGGTCTATATTCTCAATATTTGCATCAGTGCTATTTGTATTTATTTTGTTTTGATTATGGTTGATCACAAATTAAATTCGAAGGCCTTCGTATGTTTTAGACAAATGTTTTATATATATATATTTATTTAATAAATTATTATTATTTTTTGTCAAATAAATATTTTATTATGATCGAACCGGAAATAATCAAAGGTAACAAAATAATTATATTAATTATGTTGTCGGATTGATGGCTTTAATTATCCGATAAATAATTAAGCATAGAGGGGTCAAAGTGCGACATTGACTTAGAGGTTATTTACTATTTAATTGGAGTGCAATTAATTTCTTTTAGTGGAGTAGAAATTAATTTATGAATTAATTGAATTGGGTCCATGGTTTAATGGACCGGACCAATTATTAATTTATAAGAGCCAAGAAAATAGTAAGCCCAAAAGGATTCTCACCAATAGCCCAAGTTGATATTGGAGGCATGTTAGGATTGAGAAAGTTGAATTAGAGATGGAGAATGATTTATTGTTTCCTTATTCTTATTTTTATTTTGCCTATATATACATGAGTTCATGTATATTTTAGGTGTGACTTGGAGAACAGGAAAAAGGAATACACTTTCTCTCTCTAGATTTTAGGGTTTTGTTTCTCTTCTAAAGGAGGCTACCACCAGCCTAGATTCTAAGGTCATTCATCAAGGCATATTGGTGATTCCTAAAGGGAAGATAATAATCAAAAAGAAGGAGAAAGGATCTTACTAAAGGAATCTACAATAAGTGAGAATATTCACTTTAGAGGAAAGTTCAAAAGGTTTACTCAGACCTTTGATGTGAGTATTCAATCTGTTTATTGAATTATGCATCATCTTTTATTTATCTTTGCATAAAACTTGTCTCCATGTAATGAATCAAGATCTATGATTGCAAATCCCTCAAAAAGTTTTAAAAATTTGCACGTTTCCCAACAGCATCACCAACACAAGCACCCAAAAATTCAGAATTAAAACACTTTACTTTAGAAACCTCAGCTACAGATAAGAATAACACAAACTCAAACCTGGATCAGAATAGATGGGAAATATACCCTCTAACCTGGATCAGAGGCAATTGAACATGACATAATAAACTGCAATTCCCGGCCGTAAACAGCACAAGACTATTTGATAGTTCATATTTACATCTGCAACTAATTAAAAACAAAAATAATCAACCTCTTCCACTATTTCACTGAA